TGTTTTTTTTCCGGCCGAAAGGCAGCTGAACCTGCTCTGTGACGTCGCTTGCTGATTGATTGTGACATCAAGCCATCTGGCTTTTAGTTGCGTTTCTTCCTGTCTTTCACACACCTTACATTTTAAGGAGCTCCGGAGGACAGGGCTTCCCCCATTCGTGACGTCACTGGGATGGAACCTTCATGACGTCACTGAAGAGGGAAGGCATTCCACACCGAAGGCCTTTTCCTCAGGCTGTCTCTGGTCATCAGTTACAGCCGGAGAACATGGCCACAACGGGTGATTTGGAAACATCAGTAAGTGCAGATGTTTCCCTTTCATTGGTGGCAATTAGAATGAAGACACTGCCTTTCAAATATTCAACCACTTCCCAAAAATAATTTGGTTACTCAATCCACGACTGTTTGTGGGACACTGCTGCGCGCAATTGCCTGCCGCGTTTTGTTCACGAAATATACAGTTCAATTCAATTCAGTTCAATACAGTTCAGTCAATTCACTTTACGTTATATTCCGTGAAGCGCTTTGAGACGGCTAGAAGATGTGATAAGGCGCTATGTCAAATGCAAGGAATTGTTATCATTATTATTTATTTTTTCACAATTTAAATTCAGTAATCACCTCACCGTCATTTTGTAAGTTTAAATTCAATCCACTTAACAATTGGTTAGTGTCTCTTATGTTTAAAGGGGCAACTTTTTTCTGAGCTGACCATAAAATAGGATACGTAATAGGATACGAGCCTAAATTTGGAATAGAAGAGGAAAAGGATAGGTTTTTTTTAAACTTTCTGGTGAAGAAAAAGGGGTGTGTGGTATGGTAACTGGTGCTCTTATCACTGACGCAGGCACCAATTTCACAAAGAGCTGAATTGTGACAATGAACCGGGATCCACTGTTTATCTAAAGGATTTGATACAGCAGATGTTCCTTTTGTTGAAAACGAAGAGCAAATGAGCGAGGGAGCTGGTAATGCAGGAAATGATAATGAACAAATAGGTTTAACTTGAACTGACAGAGACGGCCACAGTGAGGTCATGATTGGGCGCATTTGCTCTTGTTTTGTAGCTCTGCAAAGCATTTGACCATCACAGGATATCCTGCCAATTTGGAAGCTAACTAACGGATTCATAGAAATGTTTTTCAGTTGTTTAGTTTGATGAACTTTATTTCCCTTCGAGCTTTGTGTGGTGAGTAACCTCCATTTGACCTCATCTCGCAGTCCTACCACAATGAAAGAATCTAACCAGGCTAGAAAAATGAAATGCTAAAATAAGGTGAAATCTATGATGAAACGTCTTCATTATCACCCGTCGTCGTGGGCAAATGCGCCAGTTGAACAGTTCAGGGCAAAATCTGGCAGGTGACCCACCTTTGAATAGGACGTGTAAAGGCTGGGATGAAATATAAGTAGTTCTAACAACATTGTATACTTGTATTTAGAGAGGCTGCACCAATGACAACATTAAATAAGCCAGCGTCAACAGATCTATGAACAGACACTCAATTGACCTAGTTCCAGTAGCCCAGAGAAATTGGGATCTGAATGTGTTTTACACCATGGTTTTTTTTAAACGTTTATCATTTCAGACACTAATACTCGGTTGATAGGATGTGTGATCTATTGCAAAGAACAACAAAATTACATTTATAGAGCGCCTTTCACATCGGGAGGACGTCCCAAGGCGCTGAACAGTCAGGGGTCAGGACCCGAGCATGGGGGAGGGGTGCTGTAGGGGTGAGGAAAGGCAGAGAGGTGGGAGGTTGGTAGGGAGTCACAGGTCAGAGAGGTAGGAGTGGGCAAGGCCATGGATGGCCTTGAAAGTGAGGACGAGGATCTTGAAGTTGACCCTCTGAGGGATGGGGAGCCAGTGGAGTCGGGCGAGGGTGGGAGGAATGGGGTCACGGAGCCTGGTGCACGAGAGTACACGAGCTGCAGAGTTTTCGATGATCTGCAGCTTGTGAAGGGAAGAGTTGGGAAGGCCGATGAGGAAGGAGTCTCCATAATCAAGCCAAGCCTTGATGTGACGAATACGTGAGTGACGGTTTCGGCAGCCTGAGGGGTGAGGCAGTGGCAGAGTCTGGTAATGTTGTGGAGGTGGTGGTAGCAGTGCCGGTCATGGTGCGGATGTGGGGGAGAGAGGACAGTTCAGGGTCAAACAAGACACCCAGGTTCCTGACTGGCTTAGGGAGGTTGAGTGTGTAGCGTGGAGGCTGATGCTGCCAGCGCCCGAGGTGCGGAGGCGCTGGCGCGAGCCAATCAGGAGGGTCTCGGTCTTGCTGACATTCAGTTGGAGAAAGTTGTCCCTCGTCCAGGACCTGATGTCGGACAGGCAGTCGGTCAGGACGCCAGAAACCTGGAGTTGAGGGTGGAAGCAGAGAGATAGAGTTGGGTGTCATCCACATACATGTGGAAATTTACCCTATGTCTGCGGATGATGTCACCAAGGGGGAGCATGTAGAGGGTGAAGAGGAAGGGACCAAGGACAGACCTCTGATGAATGCCGCACCAGGAGGAGAAGCCATTTACTGAGATGAAGTGGAGGCGGTGTGAAAGGTAGGACCTGAACCAGTCAAGGACAGAACCTTGGAGGCTGAGGTGGGAGGAGCGGCGGTGGAGGAGGATTGAGTGGTCCACAGTGTCAAAAGCGGAGGAGAGGACGAGGAGGCAGAGGGAGACCTGGTCCATGTCAGGATGTCGTTTGTGACCTTGACCAGAGCAGTTTTCGTGTTGTGGGCAACACAGAAACCCAATTGGAGGGGCTCATGGAGGGAGTGGGAGGAGAGGAAAGAGCGAAGCTGGGAGGCAACGGCTCTCTCAAGGACCTCAGATAGAAAAGGGCAATTGGAGATGGGCCGGTAGCTGGATAGCTGTGATGGGTCAAGGGATGTTTCTTCAAGGTGGGGGTGATAGTGTCTGTTTTTTGGGGTTAGGAACAGTACCAGATGACAGGGAGAGGTTGATAATGTCAGTGAGTGGTAGGGCAAGGAGGTGGAGGTGAGATTTAAGGATGTGGTCCAGGGAGCAGGTGGTGGTGATGATAGAGGATGGGGTGACAGGTTCAAAGGTGTGGAAGAAGGGATGGGTAGTGGTCAGAGTGTGGGGGGGGGGGTGGGGTGTAGGGAAGGGGTGGAAGGGCAGTGGCAGCTGAGCGGATTCCCTCTATTTTGGACTCAAGGAAGTCCAGCATTTCCTTGCAGTGGGAGTCGGAGGAAAGAATCTGCGCGGTGTGGCGGGGAGGGCAGAGGAGCCGGTTGGTGGTGGAGAACAGGAGACTGGGTTTGCCCTTCGCCACCAGGATTAACCTGGAGTAGAAGGACAATTTGGCCGAGGCGAGAGCGGAGCGGTGGGTTTTGATGTGGTCCAGCCAGATGTGCTGGTGGACCTTTAGGCCGGATTTGAGCCAAGTGCACCAACCTGATGCAGGGAATGTTATTGAGGGGGAAACACCAGCAGTGCTGAGAATGGCATTGATGTGCAACAGTATAGGCACATGGCTAAGCAACTGTTATTAGCCTGATGGGAAATCTAATGACTAGAAATCACTGGTGAGGATTAACATCACAGATTGGTTTGGATGAAGAAGGCCCTTTCGCCTCTCTGATTTCATCCCTCCAATACACCTACCCAACCATCAAACTGCTCTTTTAAATGAATCCAATAATCTGTCCACCACCACCTTTCCTGGCAATCTGCTCCAGTCATAGATTACTCTAAATTGGAAATACTACAGCACTGAGTGGGGCTACATGAAACATAAAATAAAAAGGTCTTGTGGATGGATCAGTAAAGATATTGATAGTCATCACAGCACTAAAACTCCATGTACTATACTGTGCTATAAAATATTTACAAACTACCCAGTCACTGGACTTTGCAGTAAAATCATCTGAAGCATTTTGAAATGACTCAACGAGATGTAAGGCTCTTTATTAAATGCAAGGATAATTAATATTATACTGTTTTTGTAAGTGCGTGGAGCTGCAATGACTGCACTTCCAAGGTGATCTTAAATAGGGATACGCTTCAATAAAAATATTGTGAAAGTTAAAAATTGGACTTAAAAAAAGTGCACATTTTAAATTTTGCAAAGGAATATCCCACAAATAGCCATGAAGTGAATGACCGTTTTTATCTTTGGTATTGTTGGCCAGTTCACTCGGGAAAACTCCCTTCTCTTTTCAAATAGAGGCATGTCCACCTGCACAGACAGACAGGATCTAGGTTCACTTCTCATCAGAAGGACAGCACCTCTGACAATGCAGATTTCCCCAGCATTGAACTGGAGTGTCAGCTAAGACTATGAGCTCCAAGCTCTAGGATGGGGCTGTGAACCTATAACCTTCTGACTCAGAAGCAAGAGTGCTACCAACTGAGCTAGGCTGACACTATCACTTAATTTCAACTGCAAAAAAGAGCTACTTACTCTGGTTTCTGGCCCTGGGTATGTAAGCCTTGCTTCTGAGTCAGGAGGTTGTGGATTCACAGAACATGCATATATACATCCCAGTATAAAGTGCAATTCAATTATCAGGTTAAAAGCTCCAAACAGGGACCAGATCTGACGCTTAATTTGGGCTCCTACGTTCCCCTCTAATTTCAGGATGAATACGCAAATACACGTTTTACAGAAAGTTCTGAGGCATTTTGAGACGTTTCGATGTGATAAAGTGTTATATTGAGTGCAAAGATTATGATGAATAACTGTTAACATCAGCTTCGTGGGAACAGCTGTGTGCAGTCTTTGGATTCTAAAACTGATTGTGACTCGATTCGATTTATGTTAAAATCTAGATTATGAACAGCCTAACATTAGTTAAAATAACACAGCAAAAGCTTCTCAGCAAATGGAAAGGTAGTTGGTTAATCTACATTTTGCTCCATTGCAAAGGAGCAGAGTTGTTCTTCCTAGAATACAGTGGTCGTATTGAGTGTCGTTTTAAATGCTTTGTGTTTCCTGTGCACATCAAGAATATAATTTCCTTTCTTTTTCCCTCACAGCCCAGTGTAGAAATCTAAGCAGCTCACTGGTAAACCATGGCAAGCGACGACAGAGTCGCCATCCTTTCTGATGACGAAGAAGACCAGAAGAGAAAATATGTGCTTGCCGAACCTTTCAACACGCTTTCTATGGAAGCAAACCATGGGGCCTCTTCTGGCCCTGTCTCTTTGGAAACAGCCACGCAGGAGGAAGAGGAACAGGACTGGCTGGAAAGACGCTGTATAAAAATAACCAACGATCTGCTCATTTCCAAGGTCTTTTATTTCTTCTTCTACTCTGGCTACGGATCGTTGTACCCATTGTTACCTGTGTATTATAAACAGCTTGGCATATTGGCCAGCCAAAGCGGACTTCTGGTGGGGATCAGATATTTTATCGAGTTCTGCAGTGCACCGTTCTGGGGGGTGATAGCAGATAGATTCAGAAAAGGGAAAATTGTCCTCCTCTTCTCAGTCCTGTGCTGGATTGTCTTTAATCTCGGAATAGGTTTTGTCAAACCTGCCACAATGAAGTGTATTTCGAAAACTCCAGCAACTACTATACCAGATTCCAATTTCACTGCCTTTTCCACCATTGCCCCCGCTGCAACCACTAATCACTCTTTCACCAACACAAGCGGCCTCTCCAACAAGAGTCGGGTACAGAGGGACCTGCTTGGGAAAGAGCCCTTTGTAAGCACATCGAGTGTCAGTTATCCTCGCTTCAACACCCCGGTGGCAAGTGGGGACAACTCAACAGCGATGTTGGATGTGAATGCAAGCGTGCTTCCCAGTACAGCCATCAGCATCCTGAGCACAACACAGCAACCCAACAAACGCATCGTTTTTGACCAAACTGAAGTGGAGACTATTTTCCTATTGATATTGTTGGTAGTTATAGTGGGGGAGTTCTTTAGCGCACCAGCAGTCACTATTGTAGACACTGTTACCCTGCAGTACCTCGGCAAACACCGAGATCGCTATGGGTTACAGAGAATGTGGGGTTCTCTAGGTTGGGGTATAACCATGTTAGCAGTTGGCATCGCAATTGACCATACCTATATTGCTGTTACTGTACAAGGAGAGGGCTGTGTACCTCCAGATTACAAAAACTATAGGATCACTTTTATTGTGTTTGGGGTCCTAATGTTCATAGCCTTCATTGTGGCGACCCAATTCAGATTTGACTACAACCACTTGAAGACCGAGGAGAATAAGAGGGAGGAGGTGATCGAGATCCAGCAAGTGGTTCAGACTTCTTTGGGAGAACATTCGAGGACTGCGACCAATAGCGAAGACTCCAGAGCAGCTCAATCAAAGAAGTTTGAATTCAAAGAGCTTTTCAATATTATCTGCAGTGTACAGTATGGGTCAGTGCTCTTTGTGGCCTGGTTCATGGGCTTTGGTTATGGCTTTGTGTTCACATTCCTTTTCTGGCATTTGGAAGATCTGAATGGGACAACCACACTCTTTGGAATATGCTCTGCCCTGAGCCATTTGTCAGAACTGACTGCTTACTTCTTCAGCCACAAGCTTATTGAATTGGTAGGTCACATCAGGTAAGATAACGGAAAGATATCTGTTAAGTTGGTTTTCTTTCACTCCGAGCCACCACAATCCACTTATAAATGACACAACAGGCATTCACAGGGTGGGTTTTCTTTTACCAGTTACTAGCAGGGAATAGGTTTATAATATTGAGAGAAAGGAGGATCAGGGAAAAAAATGGATTTCAATCAAAGAAGAAGTAATCAATTCTGAATCTACAACAATAATTATACTAAATATAATAATCATAGTAATAATCCTTACATTTGATACACTGCCTTATCATGTCATTGAGGCATCCCAAAGTGGTTCACAAGATATACTGTAAAGTGGTATGACTGTGTGTATCTTGTGAGTGAACACAGCAGCTGATGTGCACACACAATGTCTCACAAACAGTCATAGAGACCAAATGATTGACTTTGTTTTTTTTGGGGGGGACATATTTTGGGTATCTCTGTTTAATGTTTCATCCAAAGGATAGCACCTCCTTATCTGAGCAACAGTTGGGGTGCTACAATGAGTCAATCCACTTTATAGTATATAATCTGTGAAGTGCTTTGAGACGTCTCAACGACGTGGTAAGGCGCTATATCAAATGGAGGGATTATTATCATTATTATTAGCGCCCCTGAAATAAGGGAGTAAAATTCCATCAGGATACACTCACATGATCGCTATCCAGTGAAATCTGCCCCAATAGAGGAGGATGCGGAGGAGGGAGAAGATGAATAGAACAAAACTGGATGGAGAGAAAAACCATGAAAACTTATCATTGAAGTAAATTGTATGCATATTATTGCAAAGGATCTCAGCACTTGGGTATGATTCAAGGCTTTGAGTAACTGATCTCACATTGCTCACTGCATATAAGATGTCTGGATACATCCCAGTCAAGGTCACATATCAAGTTACATTGAAGAATGATTGATTTTGTCTGGAGCTGTACTTGTTTCTCATTTTCCCTGTTAATCTCTAAATCTTTTATAATTGTATGAATTTTGCTATTGAAAAACACCCGGCACTGTTTGGCAAGTATCTCTCTTACAGCCTAACTTTGTTTGTGATTCTCCTTGTTTCCCAGGGTGCTGTACATTGGACTGGCCTGTAATACAGCTCGCTACCTCTATATCTCCTACGTGGAAAATGCCTGGTATGTGCTCCCCATGGAGGTGTTGCAAGGTAAGGATGCGTGCAAGAAACAAAAACCTTCCAAAGTAACACAAAAAGGTTATTTTGCTCAGAAATATCCATTATTCTTATACTTTAAGAACACACGAAAAGTCAAAAGATGAAAAAAAGCCATTTAACCCACCGAAGCTCACCTCTCCGCTACCTTAACTTACGTAGAGTCAATTCAACTTTGGTTTGAATATACCAAATGTTTTCCCTGCCACAACCTCATCCAAACATTTCTCATTCTTTTGAGTCAAAGTTCTTCCTCCTATTTGTTTCAGTCCTGTTCTTCACAATTATAAGTGTACATCCTTAGGTTGCTTTCCAGGGTTAATATCAATTAATATTCTTGGTTTACCCTTAAAATACACATTTTAATATTTTATAAAACTCAATAAGGTCCTCTCACTCCCAACTGTACAGGAAGGAATATCATCTTGATGAGTACTTTCCTCCTAACCATTGTGTTATAAAAGCTTGCATCTCTCTTTCCACGTGGATTGATGCACTGCATCGGGTGAAGAGTTTCATGATAACTTTGGACAAAAAGTTCAGTTTTAAAACGTGCCATTGGGATATTACTGTGCAATTGGATCATAAATAATAAATTGATCACTTTATCCACGACTGTTTGTGGGATACCGCTGTGCGCAATTGGCTGCCGTGTTTCGCCCACAAAATACACCTTCGATTCACTTGACAGTATATTCTGTGAAGCGCTTTGAGACGTCTCGAAGATGGGATGAGGCGCAATATCAAACGCAAGGATTATTTTCCTTATTATTATAACGTTTGAGGACATTCTTGCAATGGTGACACTAAGAATATTCCGATGGCAATTTGAATCTGAAAGGTGTTTGGTTTGTTTGCAGGAGTTACTCACGCTGCTGTCTGGGCGGCCTGCATCTCATACCTCAGTGCTGCAGTTCCTCCAGCATTACGCACATCTACCCAAGGCATCCTGCAGGGACTTCATCTGGGTTTGGGTCGAGGTTGCGGTGCCATGATAGGAGGAGTGTTGGTGAACAGCTTCGGTAATTAATGACTTGGTTCCACCGTTTCCATCATTCCATATTTCCCTAATCTTGACATGTCAAATACTTTGGAGCGAGCAGCTCATTATTTATCCATCATTATCTTGTGGCTTCGTTATCTTGCTCTCAAGCTGTGTTGAACCTTAAACAGCAGAGAACTTGACATACCCCTAGCTAATTTAGGAGTACGCCTGTCAGTTTAGTAGATTTTAAAAAATATATCATTTGGTTACTCATTCCACGGCTGTTTGTGGGACACTGCTGTGCGTTTCGTCCACAAAATACACAGTCACTACACTTTACAGTATATTCTGTGAAGTGCTTTGAGACGTCTTGAAGACACGGTGAGGCGCTATATGAAATGCAAATATTATGATTATTATTATTATATTACAATGCTGGCAATTTAAAGCTATTTTCACTTTCATCAAGAGCCATAAAAACTTATGACATAGTATGAACTCACTTGGCCTGTTTTTTCATGTCAGTGTTTGCACCTACAAGAAGTCATCCATTCTCATTCCAATTCCCTGGCTCTTTACCCAGTCCCTCTAATACCTTTCCTCTGCAGGTGCACGTTGAGCTCAGGTTTCAGTTCAGGAACTTAATATCAAAGGGTGGGAAAGATTGACAATTTCAGTCATTTAAAAATTCACTTGTCTTTGTAATCTTCGATACTAATACCTTAGACACAAACACTGTGAATAAGTTGTCAGGATAATCTGTTGTGTTAAATTGGGAAGAAATTTGTCAGGAAACATTTTGTTTGTAGGCAAAATGGCAGCATTACATAAGTCTTTGCTTTTTAAAAAGAAAGTAACATTCCCAGAGTCAATATGTAAATAGTGTGGCACTGAACCATATTGACCACAAAAGTCCCAGTTCAATCCCTGGTCTGGTTGAGTTGATCTCAGGGAAACTGGCACTGGAGATGCAATAATTTGTCAAATGCCCTCAGATTAGCAAGATTTAGAAGTGATCCAGAGTAAGGAATGAAATCTGTTAGCAAATTTGGTGCTCTGGATACAGTGCTCTAGATACAATAAACCTGGGTTAATATTATAACACTGAGATCAATATTTGAACAGCCTTGGTGATAAATTCCACTGGTATACATAGTGACTTTGACAATGTGTCCCTTTGTCTCATGCCTGTTTGTGGCACCTTATCATTGCAAGTAGCTGGTAGATTTGCCTCCGGAAAAACAATCATTGCGCTTAACAGAAATAACCTGTAATATTTCGACATATGATATTTCATTCTTACAGTGGGAACCGTACAAATTGCCAAAGGCACTTCATAGCAAAAGCAATGTCTCCCACTCTGGTTAAGTGCGAGTTCCTATTGTTAATGTCTAATTGTTGCAGGTAGGATTATAACTGAAGATTATTGAATAACTTTGAAACAACAGTAAATCCTACACGAGGCACTCCTTCAGAACGGGCTGTTCCCAACTGCTGATTCATGAGGCAGGAGCTGACTGGGACTGTGAAACAGTCACTTTTTTGTAGTCTGATTGTGAAAGCTTTCAGCTTATAAACCTGGCCTTATCTGCAAGCAACTGAGCCAACCTTATGTTTTGTGTCTTATCTCATGCACTCCTTAAAAGGCTTCCAGCTCTGACATCAATAGAGAAGAAAAGGTAAAGCTGAGTTGTGACTCAGAACAGGAAATGGAGGGTTCAAAGTGAAAGTGGCTTCTGCACCAAAACTACTTGAATAAACCTGGTCACTAATATTCTGAATTAGATCTGAGCTCAGTGTCCACACTGAGACAGGAGGAGGAGTGGGGCCAGGAAGAAGGGTAGATGTAAGGGAAGGAAAAACAACTCTAGGGGCATGATAACCTATGATTTATATTGAATTGGTTTACATAGAACAATATGAACTATACTGACACCAGGTTTTAATTTCACTGTCTCAGGGACGAAGAGTTCTTACTATATGTCTATATTGTAATCTTAGGCAGGCTTTGACTATGTTTAACTGCTGTCAGTTTCTTCCTTAGCAACTGGGCAATGATACCACAGGTGGAACTGGTTATTCATTTCATGGATGTTTGTGGGACATTCCTGAGTGCAAATTGGCTGCAGTGTTCACCTGCAAAATACACAGTCACCACACCCTACAGTAAATCCTATTAAACACTTTGAGATGTTTTGATGATGTGATAAGATGCTATGTTTTGCCCACAAGACATTTCGCCCACAAAATATACAGTCAATTCACTTTACAGTATATTCTGTGAAGTGATTTGAAACATCTAGAAGACGTGATAAGGCGCAATATCAAATGCAAGGCTTATTATTATTACAATATCAAATGTAACGATTACTGTAGCATTTTAAAATTAACTGTTAATGAGATCAGCGTGGTATGACGGTAAAGTGAAATCGTGCCCTGTGACTTTTAGGTGCTGCATCAACGTTTCGTGGGATTGGAATGACTTCTTTGGTGATTCTCCTGCTTTTTGCCTTGATCCAGTGGTTGGCAGTGCCAGATGAAGATGAAGGTAATTATCAAAGAACATACCTGCATTGTTATTTGTTATTTTCTTTAGCTCATTGGCACCATGCTGTCTTGCCCAGCCAAGATGTTAGCAAATGGCTGGCTCCCAAGTTCCTGTAATGCCGCTCTGTAAATAACTTTTCGGGGTGGTCATGTGCATCAGGGTGGCAACATCGCAGGAGTGTAGCTGTGGTTAGCCACTTGCTCATGTATACCTTGTATGATGGACTACGAAGGTTTTCCATTGAACATTGTAGTTTATGCACTTACCAGAACAGGGACAGTTTTGCTTTACAAAGGAACTTATGCACTTAAAACAACAGTAATCACAATCCAATACATTGCAAGCGGTGAAGTTTTGAAGCAGAACCTAAGTAATCATTTAGGTAATCATTGAGTAATCATTATTCCTTCAGAGGAAGTGGGTAGAATTTTTTTTTATAATTTCACCCTATGGATCTGAGATGTACCGAAGGTATTCAATAGGCTCTTGAAGGAGGATTGTGTTAAATTTAATAGCTTTAGTCTCAAATTGGTGAGTAGTCTTCCTAGACTTTAGGAGCACTTTAACAGACCATTTTATTGCGTTTGCTACACACTCACATTATCATGGTTTGAGTTTGTGAATAGATGAACATTCAACAGTCCAAGACGCTATCATGAGTGAATGTAGTGTTGTTGTTATTGTTGTATTGATAAAACCGTTCTGACTCTTTGGTACATTTAGAAAAGAAGATGCTGGCAGAGCGTATACCGGTCCCATCCAGCCCCGTGCCCATTGCCACCATTGATCTGGTACAGCAGCACTCCGAAAACAATTCACTGTCCCGTACCGAAACTAAACATCCTCCAAAAAAGACCAGGCACCAGGAAGAACAGGAAGATATCACCAAACCAGCTTGGCCCATCAGTTCATCGCCCTGGGTTTCCTTCGCCTTTGCCCTCTGCCAGATCATGGAGATGGTCAAGTTGATGAAGACAAATACAGCTCTCGAACACCAGGTACACCAGGTTAGTGGGCAAACTCCGCACTTGCAAACTCTCACTCTGAGCTCTAAGCTCTGTGAACTGAGTGCTGATCGAAGCCCATGTTTATACAGTTGAAAAATCTAAGAGCATTTGTACATACCTGAAGCACGACTTTCTCCCAAGCCAATATTGTTTTTATCACTGTGAAGAGCCTGGTTCTTTAGGTTATTTTGTTGGAGTTGCATTTAGTGCAAATCTATTATGTTTGTGAAAAAAATCTATATTTCAACAAATAGGTTGGCCATCATCTTTCAAAGGGCCATAGTTGTCATAACACATTAAAGTGTGCTTTGATTTCCCTTCCGCTGAGGAAAAACGGGATTATTGATTCCTCTTTTGAAGCTTTTGCTGTTTTGTCGATAACAGTCAGGACAACAGTTCAAATAGTACAGTGAGTCCTGGGCTACAGAGAGGGAATATCAGCAAGGGTCTGATTCCTGATCTCTAACCAATGATCCCTGCTGGTAAGTGCATGTATGACTATATATTGTGTGAGGATAGGATTGGGTTCAGCTGTCTAGTCAACCATGGAGAGCATCACATGAGGAATCCTTCATGACCAAGATGTCCTGAAGTATCATCAGAACACACGGGACTTCATCCCTCCAGCACCTTCACGATAGGAGGGAACAAATTTGAGGAGGCGGAGGGAAAAATGTGTGACCAATTCTGAATCTTAGGTCATTCATTTCATCTGTAATTGCATTTGGTCAATACTGTTCTGTTTATCTGTCCCTTTTAGGAGGCGAATGAATATCCAGCATCTCTGGAGGCTCCACCAGAAGCAGCCTCGGCCCCTACACAGATGGAGCCTTCCTCCGCTCCCACCAAACAAACAGAGTCACAGACCCCAGCCGTTGCCTCCGACCCACAGCACCAGGTCAGCCCAAGCCCCACCCAACCCAGTGAGAGTGCTAGCGACCAGCCAGACACAGCGCAGAACTTTGTACCCCTGCCTGGGAATGGTGACGCGAGCCACAATCCAGACACACCTCAACACACTGGGACTGATGGAGTGAGTCACAAGGAGTTCTCTTCAGGATCGTAAAGATTACAAAGCACTTGCACTGTGGTTTTCCATGCTGGACTGAAAATAGGCTGAGCAAAGATGAAAGGTTTTTGCTTTTGGAAGAAGATTATCCAAAGCTTCGGAAATGCCACAAGTCACCCACCTTATCAATTAGACAATTTATTAGCTGCTAATTGTGTATATCCTAGAAAATTACTGCTGCAATTATTACATGTTAAGCATTAACAGCAGAATTGAAGTGCCTCTTTATATACAAAGGACATATCCCATGAATATTTCACAATCGGAATTAATTTGTATATTGTTGTATGGATTTTGAGACCAAGTCTGAAAGGGTGGGGCTGCCCTCGGGAATGAATGAATCGTGATGACGTATTCTGCGACATCCGAGGGCGTTTGTTGCATTTTGGCTTTTGTTTCCTTTGTCTTTTTTTTTGTTGTGTGGTGGAGGGGCTGGTTACAACCATTCAGAGTTGAAATGGAATCTGCAAACCTCAAGAGACTTCACCCACACCAGAGAATGTACTATCATATAGGTTAGTGAAGTAACAGTGCATATGATCCTGGGGTGGGAAGGGATAAAGGGAGAATGGCATGATTGCAAGCGAATTGTTTAATGATGCCTTTTTTTTGGACACACACACTCCTCAATGCTAAAGTTCAAGTACAGGTTTTACATTTGTAGATGTATAAAGGAAATCAACTGTAAATTCTGGGGATCTGAGATAAAAACAAAATGCTGGAAATGCACAGTTGGTCAGCTAGTAGTTCTGAGGAGGCATCACCCCCATGACACTAACCTCTGCTGTGCACTTACCAGCATTTCTGTCATTTCAGATTTCTACTTGCCACCTGCCAGACACTGGACCCTGTAGCACATTACTGTAAAGCACTGAGCAGGTGGTAGTTCTATGTATTTCCAGAAGGCAGTCTTAATACTAAGAATGCAAAAGCATGACTACTATGTGTCTGTGCACTTTATACTCTTAATTATTCACTGGAATATTTTTTTGTAAAAAAATAGTACTGTAATACCTCTGATTCTAAGATTTATTTATTTATTTAGCCTCAGATTGTAGTGTACAGTATTGGGATTGCAGTAGATTTTGGATTTGTTTCTAAATGAAGCACTTGAAAAAAAGACTGTACAATTGTACAGTGAAATTTAATTTATATAAAGTGTTTTAAAAGGGGACCACAGAGCAGAAAGCCAGTAATCCAACAGAGAATGGAGCAAACTATTGAAATTTACAGCAAGAAAAAGGCCTTGTGGGTTATCGTAACTGTGCTGGCTCTTTGAAAAATCAATCAATCGAATCTTGAGAGATGGATTCTGAGATACCCATTATTTCCTGATAGGAAAACATAACGCACAGCAAGCTATCTGACTCCCTGCCAGCCAGAGCCAGAATGATAGAATCTTCAGATTTCTTCAAATTTATTTCTAACCACTTTTTATTGCTTTTTTTTCTGGCCCTGTCTTGAAATCTCATTCTGACCAGCAGTTACTCAAGGCACAAAAACACACGGGGTAAAGTTTGCAAAGTTTCACAAAGCTTCCCTTGTGTTATTTAACGCAAGGAAAGCTTTATGAAACGTTGGGAGACGTCACTCCCGTTGTATCAATCACGGTGAGTTTGCAGTAATGAGGATTGACTTGATTTTACTGGGTGAAGGATGCACTATTGCGTTAGCATTGCACAATACCATGTGCCTTGAATGCATTACAGCTTCTGTATGTACAAAATGTATCAATTCTATAGAGCACTTGGCGGATTAAAATATGTTAAGATTATTAGGTTGCTTCAGCAATTATGTAAATTATGTTCCTGAATGATATGCAGGTGTATTAGTGCTAAAAGAATTCTGATTATATGTTAAATTTTATTAATAAAATATAAAAAGATTTTTTGTGACATTACATTTTATAATACGAAGGCACCTTAGGCAGTTGTCATTCTTTTTTTTGGTTCCTATGCACAAAATAGCTGCCACAATTGCTTTGAAAAAAAAGGCATTATATTTGACAGTAATTCTCATAACTCAAACTCAGCACAATAAATTCTCCCAAATCATAAAAAGATATGAATACAATAAAGGATAAATGATACATCTCGAAGCAGTTCATTGTCAACAGCCTTTAAACCAATTGGAAAGAAACATTAACCAATAGGCAGAAAAGTAGAGAATTCCCGAACTAAATTTCTGTTTTCCATCAAGATTTAAACAACATTGTCATCCAGACAAATAGCTTATTCCGAGCCAGAGCTCCTTGCATTCCTACAGTTTCGCAGTCGTATTGAAAGAAAAGCACTGCTTACTAGGATTACACTCAATTAGTGCATTTTTTTTTAAAGAAAATCAACTGTTCTTCTCTGGTCTATTCATTCAGTGAGAAGTCCATTTCGTGGCTTCTCAGCCTTTCTCCATGTATATGAGAGGCACCAGCATTACAGCACCTAACCATTTGAAGCCTTGTAAGCTGCATTTGTTTCTCCTGTCCACAGCAAAAGATCAGAATAGTTGCTCAATTACAAGAGTACTAAAATCTATTGTCTGAGTCTCATCAGTCTCTTCTTCCTCGTTTGGATCTTCCCAATTCTCGGAGCCTGATCTGCTATTTTCCTCTGTGGCAAAGAGCTGGGCTTCCAGGAAAGAGCCTCCGATTCCATACTGGTCTTCATGTACAGACACTTCCTCCTGAGTCAGATGCTGGCCTTTGAGGATGAAGTCTGCGAGCCTGCAAATTAGAATGACATAATGCAGAGTAATTGTTCTTGTGAAATGCCTTTAAAAGGACAATCTTTACATTTGTCACACAAACTCTCTCGACAGGAGGACATTTCATGGTATTTGTTAGAAAGTGTAGTCACTGCATTTTTGTAGATGAATACTGCAGACAATTTACACACAACAATGGTCCACTAAAACCTTCATGAAGTGAATGATCAATTTTATTTGGGACATTGTTGGCCAGGATACTGGAACAAACTTTAGAATTGTTCCACGGTATCTGTAACACCCATCTGAACAGAAAGACAGGACCTCAGAATAACATCTCAAATAAAAGACTGTACTGCTGACATCTAACTAATATTTCGATACAATGGAATGCATTTTAATTTTCTATCGATCCTGACTTAAATTCACAAGTTTGGGATCTGAGACAGGTGAGACTGTATATATACAAACTCAGAAGGATGTGCCCATGTGTTCTCTTTAAACAACTTGAAATGTGAATTGGTGCCATTGCCCTAAGCAAATGTAGTTAGCTTCTGTGTAACTGAGGTTATTGAAGATCTTTGTACAGGAACTTGTAGCAACTTAAAACTTGCCGTTTCGGAGAACTCATTTTCATCACAGTTTCCCACGCTGGGAACTCTTGGCCTCTGCAATATTTACGCAGATTCTCGAGGGCAATCAGAGTCACTGCTTCAGTCTGTTCTCTGTACTCGTCTTCAGTGATGAACCGATTCGCTGCCTTTTTTGCAGAGCCTTTAAGTTTTCTGCAATGAGAACAAAACACCTTTACACATAACTTTGCCAAACCCTAATGTTCGAAGTCCACATCATGCATGCAATGAAACCATTGAAATTCTGTATTTATTCTTTGAGGAGAGCAGTTGTGATATGCAGGTTATCCAAGTTACTATATAAATGGCATCTTGTGGTAGGGGCATCAACTTTAAACACTGTTGTTTCCTTTTCTCATACATCTTGTGTTTTAAACAAATATCAACTTTTTTTAATACAAATAATACTTGCATTTGTATATCACATCTTCGAGTCGTCTCAAAGCGCTTCACAGAATATAAAGTGAATTGACTGTATATTTTGTGGGCAAAACGTACATTTTCTTCCAACAGATCGAAATCTCGATAGACTGTTTCATTGTTCAGCTCCTCCTATAGCCATCTGCTGGTCTACATTTACCTCTGCCCTGTGCTCACTTAATGCCACGCAAATGCATTAAATATCCTTCTTTCCATTTTTCTGGTTGTATCACACCGCCACCTACAGGCACACTGTCTTCGCTAAACTGAGGTGACTGTGAAATGCATTCACTCTGACTATAGTACTGATAATTGTTTGGTAACGCAAGCAGCCGGTTGGAACAGAATTTATGCCAATTCAATTGATGTATTGAACTGATGTAAATTCTGTAATATAACTGAAGCTTAAGGGCAGCCATTTCAAATTCAGAAAAGGGATCCGAGATCACCTTGACAAACCACTTTGGCTACGCTAAATATGGCTGGTGAAAAGGGCTTTTACACTTAGTATTTTGAGCTTTAAAAATTTCTGGATGGACCTCTCTAAAGATTTAAATGTTATTAAACAATGGATGTGATCTGTCTTACTTTCATAACTTAAAATATTAACCTGCTGGGCCCTGACTAGCAGAGCTCTGCAAACATACATCAGATTTTATGCCTGTGACTCATTGGCAAAGCAAATCTATTTTAAACTGACTGTTCAGAAAATAACATGAGGGAACATTTCCTTGTTCCTTAGCGTTAACTCCAGAACCGCTGCTGTCCTGACAGACTGCCATCGGACATCAAGTCCTGGATGAGGGCAAATTTCCTACAATTGAATGTGAACAAGACTGAGGCCCTCCTGATCGGCTCTCGCCAGCGCCTCAGCACCTCAGGCTCTGGCAGCATCAACCTCTATGGTTGCACACTACAACTCACCAGCCAGTCAGGAACCTAGGTGTCTTGTTCGACCCCCAACTGTCTTCTTCCCCACATTCAAGCCATGACCTGCTCTGCCTTCCCTCACCTCCATAACATCGCCCGACTCATCCACTACGTCACCCTTCAGGCCACTGAAAACTCTTGTTCATGCCTTCATCACCTCCAGGCTCGACTATGCAAATGCCCTGCTTGTCGCCCTTCCCAACTCCTCCCTCCACAGGCTGCAGATAATCCAGAACTCTGCAATCTGTGTCCTCTCCCACACCAAACTCTGTGACCCCATCTCCCCCACTCTCGCCCAACTCCACTGGCTCCCTATCCTTCAGAGGATCCAGTTCAAAATCCTGGTCCTCACCTACAAAGCCCTCCATGGCCTCGCCCCACCTTACCTCTGTGACCTCCTAACCCACTACCAACCCGCCCGTTCCCTACTCTCAGCCGGCTCTGGCCTGCTCCACGTCCCCCGACCCACCATTGGCGGGAGAGCCTTCAGCCACTCTGCCCCCAACCTCTGGAATTCCATCCCCCAGTCACTCCACCTCAAGACCCTCCTCTTCGACCATGCCATCGGCCACCCCCCCTTCCCCTCCCCTTCCTTCTCCCCCACCAACCCCAGCTCGGGTCAAAAACGCTGTACACTGTCCAGCGTCTTGGGAGGTTCTCCCGACGTGAAAGACGCTATACAAATGTAATCTTGTTGTAGTTGTTGTTAAGGCCACAGGTTGGCGTTGAGAAAATTTACCACTTTGAATTTCAACGACGTGAATATTACTATATCAAATGCAAGAATTATTATTATTATTACTTTCTCCCACAAAATATAGTCAATTCACTTTAAAGTATATTCTGTGAAGCGCTTTGAGGAGACTCGAAGACGTGATAAGGTGCTATAATATCAAATGCAAGGATTATTATTATTTAGAGGGCAAAAAAGTAATAGTAGTGGATAGAAAGGATGTAAAGGAGCTACGTAAGATAGCAATAAATCTGCTGGAGATGGTAACTATACATATTTGAAATGTTTGAAAGTTCTTTCAAGTCACTGAAGTGAGAACTAACCTGTAAACAGAATGGACCAGGTTGGCTGGGTGGTGCAGATTGTTGATACAGAAGAGAGTGATTAGCACAGCATAGGCAAACTGTGGGAGAGTAACACCAGAGTATACTAATACTGATCCTATCAGTTTGAGGATCCAGGTCAGCAGATTTATATTGTGCTCGTTTGACAACGGCCCATGCTTGTAGCAAACTGCAAAGCTAAAACACCCAACGACACAAAGGTAACCTGTTTAAAACAAACAAAAACAAAAAGCTGAAGATTTTCAATCTCATTTGAATATTTAGTCTTATTTGTATTTAGGTGAAAGAAGAATGCATGAAAACATAAGGCGGGCCGTTATATCTGTACTCACCAAGTGCATAGTAGCGATATTTAGTTAGTATTTGCGCCAGGTTTAAAACACCAAAATAAATTACGAGCAATGAGACTGACCAACTTCCACTCAGTAACAATAAGAATGGCCTTACCTACAAGGAGCAAAAGAAAGTACAAGTTATAAAGTAACTTGTGGAGAACCTCTAATGCACATCCAGTTATTCTCTATCTTTCGGGCACAATCAGTCTCTGCTCCAATTCTCCGAAATATAGACAACACAAATGGAGAGAGATTCCATCTCAAGGTTTCTGCAATGATATCTCCTCATGTTCTCTGTACTTCTGAGCTACCCTTCCTTTGACTGGCAAAATTCTGGACGTTATACCTGGGATGTTGCAGGTTAATTCCATATTCTGCCCAATTTAGCTGCTCTCAAGCTAAAGGGCAGTACTAAATTTGACCTCTGCTCCCTGGGATTCAGGAGGATAAAGAAAATCATCAGTCAAGGTTCCTGCTGCTGCTGCTATCCAGTGCCTTGGTTGCTTAAAACTGAAAAAGCAATTGCTTACCCCCATCAGTCTTTTACAAAGCAAAATAATCAGGACTAATGTGGCAATAAGTCCCAGTGCAACTCCAGCAGAGTAATAAAATAACACACTCCTGCAAAAGATAATGAGACCAGTCATGGTTATTCACGATGAGATGACGATAGTTTATGCAATCATTGGCAAAATTGTTTACATCTTAAACAGAGTTACCACTTAATTTGGCGCTAATCGAACTTGTACTTCATAAATAAATATTTTGCAGCAACCTCCCCTTTGTTGCAAGGGAGCAGCAAAGGGGAAATTACAGCAACACCCTTTATTGAATGAGACATTAGCAAATATAAAAACACACGTGCTCCTGCATAACAGAGTTTGCAGTTTGTTCCGAAGGTTGAGAGATATTTTGAAAACTCTTTAGAAATGAAAGACCACTTTGACTTCAATTTTATTTTAATAATCCAGCTACACCAGATTTAGAATTTGTTTACAGTAATATTTCTTACTCAGAGCATTTTTGAAACCGGATGTTTCAAAGCTGGTTAGGCCATCGAACAGTGCAATATCTATGTGTTGCCTGAAGTTTACACACATGTTGAGTTAATTTGAACACTCTACTGTACCTGCTAAAGGACCTTGCACAAAGAAATAGGACAATTCCAGCCATAAACCGAAAAATCAGTTTTGGTTCAAACGCTGAAACAAATGTAGATTATTAAGATTCACAATGACTCACGATATACTGTTGAACATTTCATTACAAGCATCGTTATTCAATGCATCAGACTCCCACCTTTACACCTTTCATGCTACATGCCCACAAAACATACAGTCGACTATATATTAAAAATATATATTCTTTTAGAAACAATTATCAGTTTCTTAACAGTTCTGAAGAAAGTCTGAGTGGACCCAACCCTTAACATTTAGCCACTCATTTAGCCACTCATTGAGAACTGCCTTTAAAATTACTGGATTCTCAAATCTTGTTATATGGTTTACAATTGGTATATTACTAATACTGTGCAAACACAAATATTCTACTTGGTCTGTAGATCTTCCTGGGCATATCTTTCCTAGTGTGGAGTACAATTGAATTGAATCGGCCTTTTGCACAGTGTTGTACGGTATTACCAAATGAAAATATTATGTCCTCATGGATCTTGCATGTAAAACCTGTGAAGGTACTACCATTTCACAGGTTGAAGGAGATGTTAGTCCCTGCTATCAGCTTTATGTTCAAAACAAAAATCAGAAGTAATTCGTATTGATTCAAGTATCACATCTAATGGAAACTGGGGCTCTACTATTACATGTAACTGCAAATCAATGTTATCCAGTAAGTCCAAGCTTGGATTCATCATCAATTATACCTAATTAATCGTGTACGCGATTAATTTAGGTACAGTGGGTTCTTTGTGCTCAATGATATTGTTCAAACATTCTTGCAAGAAGAAAGCTCTATTTTGATTCGTAACGCATCTGTTTTGTTTGCAGAAACATTTTAAGCTTTGCTTATTTGTGTGATATGTTGAAAATAAACCATAATTGTATTTGTTCCTGTGGGTTATGTGCTCAGCAAACACTGGGCTGCTCCATGACCCACCCGCTGCGCCCCAACTTTGGTGGGTGAGCTTTCAGCCATATTGACCATGCTTTCTATGCAAGTCCCTCTGTTCTGCCCTCTCCCTTAACATCTTCAGGCCAGCTTTCCCCTCTTCTCCTCCTCCGCTAACCTCCCCACCCTCAGTCTGGGCTCCCAGTGCACTGTGTGAAGCGTTTTGAGACATCCTTCTGATGTGGAAGGTGCTATATAAATTTACAGTTATCCCACAGAAACTCCACACATGCTTATTACAGTAGTTGAGCCATCACAGATGGGGAAAGCTTCGCCCTGCATTGAACACAGTTTTGTTGGATTGGGGCACAATATTAAATATCATTGTATTTTAATCTTTGTGTTTGACAGTTAATATCACCACTTTAAGCATGTCTATCACCGTAACCTTGTTGCATCTTATTTTAAAAACAAAGCAAAAATGTATAACATGCCCAAGGTATCCCAATCTTAAAGCAAGAAAAGGAAGTGTCTTCTGCAACATAAGAGGAACCCACTTTATACTAACTCATTATTCTTACGGCTGATACAGGGGAAGGAGATAGAGGGATCAGGGCAGTGACAAAGACAAAGCAATAAAAGAAAAGCCAAATGTACAACCACAATACCACAACAAAACAATTGATACTTAAGAGGAAACAAAAACACTGTCTAGTCATAAGTTGATTAAAACGTACGTCGCCTGGTCACAGTCACCGTGTATGTCATATCAGATACCATTGGGTTCACGACAAAGCAGGTTTTGGAATTATAGCATTCGATACTAATGAGGACTTCGGAAACTGGTGCTTTTGGTGAGGACGTGATCCCATAGTACAAGGATAAAAGAAAGTCGATGAAAGTCTTGGGATCGTTGGCAATGCTTTCCTGCTCAGCCGGATGGGAAACCTGAAACAACTCGGAGCTGTTTATTTTTACCTGTAAGAGGACAGTAATATCACTGGCTATTAGCTGAACCACTCCAGAATTTTCTCAGTATCTTTTCCAAAAATAAACAAACCGTCTTACACTCTACAAGATTGTAGTAAAACCAAGACTGTTTCTTGTGAGCAAAAAATGCAATCATTAGTTATTCAGTTATTTATTATTTAGTTATTCACCTACAAATGTACAGTCACTACATTTCACAGTCAATCCTGTGAAGCGCTTTGAGACATCTTTCTGACGATGTCTCAAAGCGAAAGATGCTGTATCAAGTGCAAATATAATGCCTTATTATTTTATAACAATAAGCAATAAGAGGCATTTATAAGACAATAGCTTGTATAATAAAAGGAATGGAATCAAAACCCATTTTAAATAGTGTGACAATGCTCTGACATTTTTATACATTATTGAAACACAAAACTGACTTGTTTTACAATCCTCCTACCTGTTAACTTTAAAATTTGTAACAGCTTTGATTTTTACTCGTGAGGATTTACATTTTTGGGTGACCTATTCATTTTCTAAGCTTCCTCACATCTCTGTTCAATAAGTACACGTTATCTCCCTTTGTGACTAACACCTGCGTGAGCAAGAGCTTGACTGCTGTCTGCACAGTTTTGATCACAGATGCGAATATTAAAAATATATTCCAGCATCTGCAGCTGTTAGTAACTTTCTCATGTGCAAACCCTATATGACCATCATGGCTGGTAGTTTTCTCATGTCTGCGGGCTATAAAATAATTAAATCATCAAATGCAAATTATACCTTTCTAAAACTTCAGTGACAAGTCAAATACTATATATGATAATCACCCTTACATTTGTTAAAATATCTCAGAGCACATCAGAGTTTTTCCTGCAAAGTGTGGTGACTGTAATTTTAGGGGAACATAACAGCCAATTTGTGCGCAGCAGTGCCCCACAACTAGCCGTGAAGGTGAGGGCCAATTTTTTTTTCATCTGGGGAATTGATGGCTAACACTGGGAGAAATTCCCTTCTCTTTTCAAATAGTGCGATGGAATCCTTAACATCTACGTAACAAAATAGACAAGTCGTCAAGGATGGCAGACAAGGATGGCATCTAGTGGGTATCCATTATCTCGATTTCTATCAATGCAATAGTTATTCACCACCTGTACTAAAACCTAAACAGACTTTTGGGACTGACAAAGCAGTTTTTTAAATCTTATCAAGCATTAGCTCATCTGTATTGAATTCCTACTGGACCCAAGAAGAAAGGTTTAAATTAAGTTTCATGTTCTTTAAATGTCTCACCTGCTGAGACTGTAAACGAAGGATTTGCTACAAAGAACTTCACAGTTCAGATGAAGAAGGCCCTTCAGCCCATCTGATACCATCCTTGAGAACACTCATCCCTACTTTACTCCTATCACTGCATCAAGCTTCTTTTAAAAATTATGTCTTGGCGTCAACCACCCTTCCTGACAACCTGGTCCAGTCGTCAATGACCTTCTGGGTAAAAGAAAAATGTCCTGGTGGCTGTCCTCAAATTGCCCTTTGCAAACTCTAAACCCACATCCTTTTGTTCTACTGTCTCGGTGCACCCTGAAGTGTTCTGGAGTGTTTGTGGAGTCCTGTAGCTCAATGGTTAGAGCACTCGCTTTGCAAGCGAGAGACCTGAGTTCAATTCCAGGCAGGGCGAAACCTTGGGCAAGTTTCCTTACTCCACACAGAGCCTAATAAAAATCCCTCCAAAACCAAAAACAATAATAAATTGGTCATTTTCAATCTACGACTGTTTGTGGGACATTGCTGTGTGCAATTGGCTGCCGCGTTCGCCCATAAAAAAAAAGTCAATTCACTTTACAGTGTGTTCTGTGAAGGGCTTTGGGACGTCCTCTCGACGTGAAAAGCGCTATATCAAATGGAAGGATTATTATTATTCTGCGTTTACTTTTTCAATCCTATTGATGTTTTGTACATCTCTACAAGGTCCCTTCTGAAGAAGGTAGTTGAGTATTAAATAAATTCTCACTGGCTCTCGTAAGATGTTCTATTCGTAACAAGTGTTCTGTTGGCTATAAAAATTTTTTTTTTGATGTTTTCTCTTATCAGATGGGAATCTGCACCCTTCTCAGCTCTTCTATGTGTAAATATAACAGAGCAGACACACTGCATCCTACCTTGACTGCCGACCAAATATGTTTGATACCAGGTTTATCTGAGAATTTGTAACAGAAATACTTCACTTTGTCTGAAACGTATGTTTGACCTTCACGTAACATTTCTGCAAAGAAGGAAAAATGACATGATTATAAATGGCATGAACCTCTGTACAGATTTTCCTCACTCAACATTTCTTTTTGAAGTCTCAAATCGCATTACTGGATTTCCTGTAAGGTGTAGTGACTGTGTATCTTGTAGATGAACACAGCAATCAATTTGTGCTCATTGATGTCCCACAGACATGATGTGAATGACTAATTTTACCTGGAGCCTTTTTGGTCAGGTCACCAGGAGAAACTCTCCTCCCTTTTCGAATCGTGCATGGGATCTGTCTTTAACATTCACTTGAACAGGTAGACCGGGAGGATTTCAGTTTCATGTCTCATTGAACAACTGAGCATCACTACCCCAGCATTGCATTGGAGTGGCAGCCTAGACCGAGTTCAAAAGCCTGACTTAGAGATTCTAAACCCATAACCAAGTAGCGTGACTGGGGAAGACTAGATTTTAAAGTAATTTTGGTTTGAAGAATCTCCAGATAGATTGATTGGATATTTGAAACTCTGAGTCACACAAAAGCGGTTTCTTTCCTGTAGGGTTTACATTACCTATGAAAAATGTGTTCCAACCATGTCAATGTTCTGAGTAGTGTGATTATTGAAATATTAGTAATTTTTTCAGGATCTCTGTGAGTCAGCTAAAATATACCAGATTAATACCCCGAGGGGATAACTCACCCAATCCCTCAGTCTCTTGCAATCCTCCCCTTTCTTCCCACCCACACATAACCGCTTCCAGAGCAATTCTTCAGTCATCAATCATTCTCAGTATTGCTTACAGGCGCTCAAATGAGAATGGTACACATTAGGTTTTTTTTTAAAAAAAAACTATAAATCTCTTGGCAGTTTTTCCCTGATTTGGCCACAAATGAGACGATGCAATTATGAAATATGCCTGAGGTTGGACTTTGCACAAACACATCTCTGGTCTGCGGGATTATTCATTGGACCAACTGAAGATTACCTCCTTCCCAACCTCCACCAACAAACAAACCATCTCCTCTTCACTCCCCCCCCCCACCCCCACAAAAGCTGTTCTCACTCACTCATCTCATGAACCAGTTTTTCTGTATTTAAGTCAGTGTGTGGGAGAGTGTTGGGAGTCTGGGGGGTGGGGGGGGGGTTAAGGGTTGATCAGAAACATATATCCCCCCCCCCCTTTCTGTGTGTAGTGTGTGTGTGTGTGTGTGGGGGGGGGGGGGGGGTGTGGGGGGGGGGTTGTCACAGGAGCCCATCAGCTGATCGGTGTTACAATGTTGCAAAGCGCTGGGGATCAGGTACTGCGAGTGATGGTGATGGGGACCAGAGGGGGGTCTGTGGTGGTGGGGGGGGGGTGGTGGGGGGGGGGGTTTCTGGTTTGATGTGAAATACCTGGGGGAGCAGTCACTCCTTCCTCCACTTGTGCCTCCCTGACAGCAGCAGCTCCCAGAGCCATGGCCATGGCCAGGGTGAGGGTGAGGGTGAGGGTCAGGGTCAGGGTCTGGATGCTGCTGAGATCCCTCATTTCGCCTCTGGCTGTGCCTCTCCCGCGCTTTGGGGTTGTATTTTGTGTGCAATGTGCAGAGGAGAGCAGAGAGGACCTCCTCCCTCTCCGCCTTTGCACCCTTTCGATTTCCAGCAGCAGAGTTTATTAGGGGAAACGCATGCGCTGCAGTGTTTTGAAAAAGAAATCGTCCTCCACCAGGGGGCGACACATCTCCCCTCCACCCCCCACCCCCACCCCCCCCACCACCACCCCCCACCCCTAGTCCTCATGGATGTGAGATTAAACACTGCCCACAGGTCGTGGGAAGATAACAATAATTAATAATAATAATAATAATCCTCGCATTTGACACGGCGCCTTTGTCACGTCTTCTCGACGACGTCTCAAAGCGCTTCACGGAATAGACTGTGAAGTGAATTGACTGTACATTTCGTGGGCGAAACCCGGCGGTCAATGAATCGCGCGCAGCCGCTTCCCCCACCCACCCACCCACCCACCCCCTCCACACACAAACAGTCGTGGATTGAAGTGACCAATTTATTATTGTTTTTTTTTATTATTGAAGATCGGCACCTCCCAATTATGGTTTTATCTCTCAGCTCCCATTGCTGTGACCCAAACAAAATTCAACCCACTCTCCCCTCTCCCTGACACCCTCTCCCCCACACCCCCCAATTTTGTTTTGTTTCATTATTTCGCCCACAAAATACAGTCAATCCACTTTACAGTATATTCTGTGAAGCGCTTTGAGACGTCACATAAGGCGCTGTATCAAATGCAACAATTATTATTATTTTAAGCTTTATTGCTCCTCGCTCTAATGCAATATTCTACCTTTTTTTAAAAAAAAACATGCTCGTTCTCTATTCCTCCCAGATCCAACCAAATATTTCTGACGTAGCAGCAAAGTAATAATATTAAAATAAAACTGACCAAGTGCCAGAATATTAAAGATTGATTTGGCATTCTCCTAGATATGAGCAGGTCAATGTTTGGCAAATGTTTAGAGTGTCAAACAAAAACTGCAGAACAAATTGTTTCACCAATGCTATGAGCAATCTAACTTATCCTCAGTACAGGAAGGGTTCAGCTACCAACCATCGACTGTTCACCTGTCAAACACAAATATGATATCTTTGTTTGGCAAACAGAAAATGATCACTGCCTTGGATGATATTTTCTGACCTTTTCTACATCAGCAAATTATCAATACAAGTATAATATAGGCCTCAGGAAGATCTTTTATATTTGTACCGGGTCATGTTTCAATCGCAGCACGAGAGCTGAAAGCTTTTTTTAAAAATATTCTGCATAAATATATTGTTTGGAAGTGGAAACAGTGAGTACGTGCACATGATGAAGAGGTGTCCATTAGCAGAGATCGAGAAGGCAAACAAATTGTGTGATTATTGGCCATTCACTGGAGGCTTTCAGTTAATGTGAAGCTGTTATCAACAAAGCTAATGAAATTCTAGTTGCGACTCAAGAGCATTTACTGTGTCAAAAGAAGTGATTCTAACCTTGTGTAGCTCACTGTGTTGCTGGGTCTTGGTGGGTGGATGGGAATGTTGTCTGCAGAGAGAAGTAGGATTAAACAGTGGAGGGTGGACAGCGGATGTGAGGATGGATGAATATGCTGCTGATCTAACTTGACTGCTTTGAGTGTTAACCACACAGCATCTTCCCACTAAGAGATAGATTGGGTGGGCAGCAGTTTACAATAGAGCAGGCTTTATATAGTCTACCAAAGAAACAGGCCAAAAGCTCTCTTGTTTTATTCTTGTGTGCGTACGTGTTTTTGTGTGTTCTGAAAGCAGGAAGAAGCAGCCTGGTAAAAACAGGAGTGTTCTGCCTGCGAGCAGTCATTCTTCTTCAGAGAATAACCAGCTTCTCTGCATTTGCTGCCTGTAATTTGCAAACGGAACTGAAGTATATTTCCCCCTCCCCTACTATGCTTAACATCCCTGGATTCTCTTGTAGGGTACGGTATTTGCTTGCAAGTGTTGCACATTTATAGAATACATTTAATGAAAGCCAGAATGGAAACTTTCATTCAAAGATATTAATTTCAAAAAGAGCTTGGTCACCTTTTTATGAAACAAAGTAACAGGCAATACATTTTGATTATGTGTGACGCATCATGTTCCACACTGGACCTATAGAGAAGTTTTTATTTGGTCAGCCAGGTGTCTGGCACATGCGAAAACCCATCTCCGTGCTTAAGCACTCTGAGCGCAAGAGGAGGCCACTATATAAGTGCAAGTTGTTGTTGTTGTAAGCATACCCAAACCAGGCTGAGAGTTCCACATATTTATGCCATCTACACATGGAAATTTCCCAGTTGTCTGGAATGGAATGTGCACTTTCTCCCTGTTGAGATACACCCACCATACCTAATTCTGTGTATTGATTCTGGGATGTATTAGGTGCAGATAGGCAACAACCAAAGCTTACGGTCCCAAGAGTATGTGTTATGGTACTGTTGGAGTTCAAGTCAGTAAAACTGCATAGCTTGCCATTGAGCATTATTTCAAATTGGCAAATTTCCAACTGCTTGTCCAGCTCAGACAACCGTATGCTTTAGGCCTTCGGCTTGAAATCAGGAACTAAACTACTGGGCTACCATCTTCCCGCCCACAGCTTGGGCACACATCCCATCCCTTTGATCGATGGTTCTACCAGTTGGCAGTAATAAGGTTGAACACCAGCTGCTTTCCACTATACATACCAATCAAGGTGGTTGCCAAGCCTGGATTCATGAGCATGTGTTCATGAACCTGTACTCCAGATAACATCTTCTGGCAGTTGTCATTCCCAGCCTCCAAGTATCCTCATCAGCTATTTGATGGATACCTGCCTTCGACATGGTGAACGAACCTATACATGATGTGACAGCCACCTTGGTGTTCTAAAGGTGCACACCAGCCTTACTCAACAACAACTGCTTAATAAAAACATGCCCACTGAGAGTTGAAAGGTTAAAGGGACAATTATTTTGTGGTAATTAGGTATTGTTTATGACTGTATTAATTTACGCTGAGAATAATAATAAGAATGTTACAATCTTAAGGTGGAGACATGTCTGTATATCATTGATGGAGTGAGTTGATTGGAGAGGATTGTCCAATAACTAGTGCCAACAATTATGAAGACAAAAAACAAAATCACATAAAATTACCCCTGGAATGCCATTGAACTTAATATATATATTTTTAAAACTATACAAGACTTGTAGCCTGTAATCTTATCTCAGGCTCAAATGACAGCTAAAAACTTGGAAGAGCTTTACTCTTTTGGGTTAACCTGAAATTTCAATGAGATGATTCCCTTTATAATGACTCCCAGCTATCCTTTGTTCTCCAAGTCACATAGAGATAAGTGCAAACAATGCAATTTTTTCCCGAGCAAAGCTCAGAGATGCACAGAAAATCTTGGCAGGCATAATGGCGGTGGTAAAAATTAAAGAAGCAAATTCTGGTCAAACTCCCAGTGAGAATGATCTGAACAATAATTGATGAGAGGAAACTATTATGAAAATCAGCAATTTGGAGCTTTTCAAAGGCTACAACACGTTCTCAGTTGTTGCTGACTGTGTAAACCACAAGATTCCAGACTGCGTGACAGGCTTGAACACAGTCCCAGTGATTATATATTCCCTGTATTAACCAGCACGTGTTGTATTAACCAGCCAGGTTACACCACCGGAGGTCTGTTACCTTGCCAAATGTTACTATTTTGTTTCCCCTCTAAATGGTTATCCATCAAAAACCTGAAAAGGGGATATTTTGCAGGTATTGATACTGTGTGCTATAATTGAGCTCAAATTATGCAAGAAACTTTGGGTTTTATAATAAAGACATAGAGTGCATACGTTATACTGCACATCCATGTAAATACCATGCATCACATGTAAATATTTTTAGATGGATATTGATGGATATTTAGCCTGATATTGAGGCTTAAGTACCTTTTAAGAGGTTGAACAATTTTAAGATGTTCTTTTTTAGAAGTTTTAACCATGATTATTAATCGCATTTGCCAGATAATGAAAATTAGGGCTAGTCCATTATAATGAAAAATAGTATAGAACTTTTTAAAGATCTGAGCTTTATGGGCCTTTTTTCTTTTTATACTTTTTTTTTGCTGTTGGAACATTTCAGCCCTTTTGTACTGTGTGAGATTGTCTTCTGATTTCTGACCTGTCAGGAGGTCCATAGTGACCCCTTTATAGACTTTAACACTGTATATTGCACAACAGTTAGAAATCGTAAAGCAGTACCGCATAATATCATACCAATGCAGGTCAAACTTGAGGCATACAAGACCTGTGTGCTCCTGTGGTGCAGTCAGTTGAAAGGCTTCACAGCATCCCCAGGAGCATGCAGGTCTTATGTGCCACCGGCCCACTTGCAATGTCCAGGATCAAGCAGCAAGGTGGATTTGTGGCAAACATGGGAAGTGGCTGCAGGGAGGGAAGCACAGTGGTTCCACTGTCTCCTTCTCTGCAGGAAGCGTGTGTGCATTCCATTGCAACACACATCTATAGAATTTCCATGTATAAGTGGGATGCGTGGAACTGTCAGTATGGCTTGGATACGCTTAAACATGATGATGGGTTTCCACATGTGTCAGACACTCTGTTGATGAAAAATGTGCCACTCAACAACAGCAACTTGGATTTATAACGCACCCTCCACGCCGAAATGGGAAGGGAGGGAACGAGACGAAGGGAGTGAGGAAGGCAGTTCCAGAGCCTCGGGGCATAGTGGCTGAAGGCACGGCCGCCAAGCGTGGAGCGGAGGACTCGGGGGACAAGGAGGAGGCCAGACCCAGAGGAACGAAGGCAACGGGTGCTGTTTTGAGGAGAGAGAAGGTCAGAGAGGTAGGGATTGCAGAGGAGTGAGGGACTTGAATAAAAGGGTGAGGATCTTGAAGTCGATCCTCTCTGGAATAGGCAGCCAGTGCAGTTTGGCAAGGACTGGGGTAATCAGGGAGCAGAGTTTCGTACGGGTGAGAATGCGGGCGGCAGAGCTCTGAATAATTTGGATTTTATGGATGGTAGTGGATGGGAGACCGGCGAGGA